GCTTTTGATGCCTGCATGGGCCTGGATCCCATGCCCCCACAGTATTAGAAACATGCCTTTGTGTATTGACAGTTTTAGAAGTGAGGGAATATTTAATTTAATTCTCTGTTCATGGTAACCAGCATTGATATTGGGACGTGGGATCAAGATGTCCTTGGTTTCGGTAAGCTTTCCCTGGTCTGGATGCCTGTTCCTGGTGGATACATATGGAACCTGGGGGCCTAGAAGTTGATCATTAATGAAGGCTACTTCAGCAAGTGCTGACTGATTATGACAAGACCATGTTTGGGGGGGAAAGTAGCAGGGAGGTGTTTGCTGCTGCAGGTGTGGTATTGATATCAGCTGCAGGTGTGGTATGTATTGGTAAACACGTGTGGAAGATGTGAGGCAACAGATGCATTTGTGAGAATAGCGCCATGATCCCAATAGTATTGACAGGCAGTTTGCATTTGCAGGCAGTTACGTGCATAATATGCACAGCTGGAAGGTAAAATCGTGAATAGCCTGTTACATGGAACTCGTTACTCAACAACTAACTCCCCTATATCTCTCAACACTGAATACTTTCCATAAGCTTCTCACTCCATATCCCTGGTAGACAAGTGTCTTACATGTAATGTCGATAAAGTTAGCTTCAGTTAGCTTTTTAACCTCCTTTAACAATATTCCGGCTATAAATAATTCTGGCTTGTAAATAATCAAAATCTGGACTAGTCAAGTCAGTGATTGATATTGTGAGCAATGATCTTCAGCTTTGGTGTATGATGACACCCCTCAATCAACCAAGTCCCCTTTACGACCAGTATTGGTCCTGGGAGCCATTCTAAACCAGAATCCCAAGAGGATGGTGTAGTTAGGGTCAGTGTTGAAACACGTTTTGTTCTGCTAGATAGAAAATGTTTGTAAGGTCAATGGGGAGGAAGAATGACACTCCTAGAAGTTGGAATCCTGCCAGAATCTAGGCCCATGGAGATACCAGTTACCAGCCAGATGGCTCACCCAGGAATGGCTGACTTTCATTGTCCCTGTTAAATTAACAGAAAATACTCCGTCCTATTCACCTCTGAATTCTCAAGGGATGCGATTGATATGTACTGTGAGTCTATTCTATTCTCATAAGAAATACACCCTATCAAAGTTCAGCTTGTCCATTTCTAATTTTCTTCACTGGGTCGTTTTATTTCATACAAGAACATCACCTTTTAGGATTAGTTCCGGGCTTCATAGAAGTGTTGCATGTTCATATAAGATAGCTTCGCGATAAATTGCAAAGATCAATGAAGAATGATGCATGATTTATTTCATGATAAAACATTCTTCTGTCATGAGATCATTTCTGGAGATTTGAACTTTCGCTTGCAACTTGATGACTTAGTTTATTGGACGTTATTTTTGAGAGGGAAGAGTCTAGTGTGTTGTTCCCCATAGATGTTGTTGGGCAGTGTTTTATTGTATGATAAACAACGACCTCAAGTCATTTATTATGAAATTATTATTGTTGTCAACCTGCAGATGTCATGTAGGTGACAGTGGTCGTCCTTGAAACTCTCGTTGCCATACCTGGGACCCCAAAAAGTATTCCTTAGTGTCTGTAAGACTGAACAATAGACAGACCTGTTATTAACAATCCATGTATATTGTTTGAGCCTGTCTGTGTTGTCATGACTGATATGTGTAGGAAACTGTGTATTTAATGAAAGAAGGCCACTGAGCGCTTTTGTGATGAAGGGGGCAAGGGTGGCCCAGTCGTCTAAGGCGCCATGATTCGCTGTGCAGAGTTGCGTCCCTTGGGCACGCCAGAAACCTATGATTGTGGGTTTGAATCCCAGTTCGCCCCGATCATGTTCTGAGACCTGCATCACTTTGGGCTTTCCTTCCACATTTAGCTGACATGCCATGATATAACTGTAATACTGTTAGAAGCGGCCTTAAATCCAACTCACTCACTCTTGTGCTGTAAATTAAGTATCTACTTCGTGATGTGTAAACATTTTACAGCCAGGTTGGAGTCCATATGACTTTTATAGAAGTGAACTCAATGTAGGAATGTGTGGTTGTTGTTTTACAATGCACATATCAGTATCCCAGCTGTATCACACTGGGTCACCCGTAAATAATCAAGTATTGGTTTGTCAGTATTATAAGCAATCATTAGGGTACGATGACATGCGATCAACTAAGTCACCGAGTCTGACCACCTGATTCTGTGGGGCCCATTTGGGTTTATAGGAAAGATCATTACTGTTCTAAGGATGTTTATTAATATATGTGTGTATTTTGTTACTGGGAGTGATGTGGTGAATAACCACTTGTAAGTAGATACATAGTTTAGTTGTGTGCTGTTTAATGCTACAGCAATATTCCAGCTGTATGACCACCACCTGTAAATATTCAGCAGGACCAGGCAAACCAGTGACTGATATCATTAACACCATCTGAAACAGACTGATACATCAGGCCACCTCCATGACCTTCCAAACTTTCTTGTGATGTTTTGTTTTTGTAAGCCACAGTCCACAATATTCCAGCTATTAATGGAGCCTGTACATAATGAAGTCCGATCAAGGCCAACTAGTAATTGATGTTATGAGCAATGAACCAAGTCTTTATACCTGAACACCTGATCCAGACATGGGTTCCTTAAGACATATTCTTAACGGAAATCCCCACTTAGGGTTTGTACGTAGAATGTTCCCTCTGTGATGTATGGGGCTGTAAAAGCTCATCATCAAACAAGCCTTTGTGTCTGAACACCCTGTCCACTTAGCCACCTTGTAAGACAAGCACAGGGGACATATTCTAACCATACTCAACAGAGGTGATACATAGAAGGTTCCCTCTGTGATGTATGGGGCTGTAAAAGCTACAAACACTTCAGCTGAAAACTCTAGTGTTGTTCTTGGATCGTGACCATCCTCCACCTACTTTCAGTTGAAGAAGCTTTTGTGAACAGGCTGTAGATTATTTTACAACATGGATTTTATGTGCAAGTGACCAGGCTTATCTCTGGTGCATGACCTGTGAGGAATCTTGGCAGACACAGCAAAGGAGGAGTTGTTTTGCTCTGCATGGTGTTAGCGCAACCTCTGCTTACAACAAGTGCTCTCCTGTGCTATGTCAGGTTATAAAACTTCTGCCTGTCCTACGGCTGTTACAGGACAACATGAAGATTTATCATGTATGCTGTATAAACAATGTGATCCGTATTTCCTCTCTTATGAGACCCGGGGTAGAATATGTCTTCAGCAACCCATGCTTGCCGTAAAAGGTGACTATGCTTGTCGTAAAAGGTGACTAACGGGATCGGGTGGTCAGGCTCGCTGACTTGGTTGATGCATGTCATCGATCCCAATTGTGTGGATCGATGCTCATGATATCAATCACTGGATTGTCTGGTCCAGACTCGATTATTTACAGACCGCCGTCATATAGAGGTAATATTGCTGAGTGCGGCGTTAAATAACCAACCAACCAACCAACCTCTCTTATGAACCCGGGGGGGGGAATTCTGTTGATTAAAGCAATTTGGTTGGTGTTGCCGAAAACCCAGTTTGATTCCTTATATGGGTACAATGTGTGAAGTACATTTTTTAGTGTCTCAAGCTGTGATATGGTTGCAATATAAGTGGTGTAAATCTCACTCATTCACTCACTCACATTATGTACCATAATTCATCAATTACAAGCCTACTTATCTCCCCTTACATGAAAATACTAGCTTCTGATTGGCTTAGGAGCGGGCAATTGTTTTCTATGTACTCAGCTGATGTAGCCTGCTCATGTAACCTGCTGAGAAGTCAATCAGAACACATCATACGTAACTTGCATATCTCGAATAAGTATCATTGATTTGAAATGAAACGATGTTTTTGCGAATGTATAAAGGGAAGTAACTCAGTTTGTTTGACTCATCTGCTAGCTGTCAAAATGGCTGAATCATAGCGTTTTACTCTGTGAAACTTTGGCATACATTCGGGGTCTGTTTGAATGAATGTTGTTGAGATGAGTTCATTGTCAACCAATCCCGCGGGGCATATGGTGTGATGTACCCTGTGTATGAGCCTGTGTGCCCCGAGTCCATGTAAAGGGAAATACTTCAGTACTTCAGTTTGTTTGCCTCACCTGCTAGCTGTCAAAATGGCTGAATCAAAGCATTTTACTCAGTGAAACTTCATCATATTCCAAGTCTGTGTGAATGAATGTGGTGAGATAACTTTTTGTCGAATATTTCCTCGAGGCATATGGTGTGATGTACAATGTGTGAGCCTATGTACCTTGATCCGACAGCTCGGGAGCGGTTGACAACTAATCTTATTAACTTCAGTTTTCATTTAACTGGCCCTTAACTGCGTCGAATTGAATCCTAGATTCAGCGCCATACCCGTGCTCATGCATTTCACCAAAGTGTCAAATGTGAAAGACAAACATCACTGAAGGCTTTCCTTCCCCCCAACATCAAGCAGACATGTTGACATGAAATGTTCAAAGTGGCTCTACCCAACTCAGGCACACACTATTGGGGTCCAGGTCTTGTTAGAGGCCAGGCCTTATTGTTTTTCTGTCTGTTTAGAAGGAACGTCTTTGTATGGTAAACGTTATGGTATAAAATATGATGGGGAGAAATTGTTAGCAGTAGTAAACCAAGCCATTATTAGAGGCCTGGCTCTTTTTTCAATACCTTACCCAAAGACTGGGCCCTGTAATACAGAGGTGGGCTCTTACTAGAGGAAATATGCTTCTGCAGTGAAGAGCATGACAGTGATAGGCAAGCCTCATTAACAATGACACAAACAAACCAAACAGGATTTAACTGCAGGATGAAGATTGAGTTATCACAATCATGTCAAGGTCACTTATAAATTGGGAGCCCCAGATTCATTTTTGAAAACTGGAAAAATATCCCATCCTGAAGGGTGACAATTTGTTGATCGAAAGTTTTCTTGATAAATACATGTGATGAAATCCTGGTGCATTATCGTGACATGTTTGTTTCATTTCAGATGAAAACGAGGAACAAGTTTTTGCCAAATTTATGCGTGCCCACAAGTGCTATGATCTCATTCCCACTAGTGCGAAGCTGGTCATATTTGATACACAGTTAAACGTGAGTGTTACAATAAATCTCACTCCTATGGGAGCTATTTTAGTCTGGATAATTGGAAATGAATAAGAGTTGTGATGGTTTTATGTGGCGTTACAGATTGGTCAACTCAGGGGTTTATCTCAACCTGCTCAGATGCTGATATTCAGCCCCAAGTGTGAGGAAAATGTCAGGATACCTTCCCAAAGTGGAACTAACCATTTCCTAATTTTTTAGTTATGACTACAGTTGTATTGTTATGGCTCTGTAAAGGTGGTTTGTGTTTCACTGATAACAGGACATGATGAGGAAGAGGGTTTAATGCTTAGTTTGACGTTATTGCATTAAATGCGATGTTAAAATACCTCTGCATTAAAGAAAATAAGAACATAAAAAATAAAATTTGGAACAAAATAACAAAAAATAATTAATTTGTTAGCCACAGGCACTTAGTTCGGAATCCTAGATAATCCCTGCAATTTTCTGTGCTCGTGTATTTTTTTAAGTTTTATGTAACATTTTGGTAAAGACAGATCAGGCTATGCTGTTAAAGGTTTATTGGGGAAGGAGGCACGCCTCTGTTTTCCTTTCCCTTTTAAAGTGCTGTACGTCTCCAATAAGGAATGCCTGTAAACCATCATCGGGTATTGTGAGGTGATTGTAAACTTTGAGGTGCAGGGCCCCGTTCCACAAGGCAATCCTATTGTAGCGCAACGACAGTCGTTAGTCTAAGTTAGAGTATGTGAGTTGCAATAACCTTATCCCTACGATAATTTTGTGGAACAGACGCCTGAATTCTAAAGGTGGACCATTGTATGGTATTAAATTCATATGTTTCAACTTTTGACGTGTTTGAAGTATTATTCTGTTAAACTCAATTGGATTATGCCGTGGATCGTGTATGTGTCAGCCTATTCACACTCAAAAGTATAATTCTAAAAACGTTTTAAAGGGCAAGTAATAAATAAAATACTAAACTTTCTCACATGTAAAACCAATTTTATGAAACTCATGAATTGTTGTGGTATCTGACTCGCTTTTGTTCGTCACATTGAGGAACTTTTCATTTCTTTCATAAAATTGGTATTACATGGGAGCTCGTTGAGTATTTTATATTTACAATATGAGAAGATGGTGATTAACAGCATGATCTGTCAATTTTTCCTCATATTATTTTCAGGTTAAGAAAGCATTCTTTGCGTTGGTGTACAATGGTGTTCGAGCAGCGCCGTTATGGGACAGTGCCAAACAAGACTATGTTGGTAAGTGTAACTTCTTGGTGGATGGCATGCACCTTGCAGACTAATGGGAGCCAATTACAAGACTAAGCATGTACTTTCCTTTTTGTAATTTTTGGGTTTGGTCAGGCGAAAGTAGAATGATAAAATTTTAAAGTTGAATTTAGTTTGTTTACTCAAGCAAAAAAACAAAATATTATTTTATTACAAATTGGGCAACAAGATACTATTTAAGTAATAATTGATCAAATACATTATATCTATGGCCACTGCAAAGCCCTTTACAGAGGAAAATACCTTCACTGTTAGTAAACTCGTGTTACAGTAAGTTTGTTAGGGGGTTTAGCCTAGTGCCTAAAGCATTCGCTTGTCACTCAGAAGCCCCGAGTTTGATTCCCCGCATGTGTACAATGTTTGAGGCCCATCCTGGTGTCACCTGCCGTGATACTGATGGAATATTGCTGGCGGTGGCGTAAAACCATACTCACTCTCTCACTCACTCTCACTGTTTCAGTAAAACAACCAATTGTCCTGCGCTTTAAACAGAATTAACGTTTATGTAGCCCTCTTAAACCAACCAACCCCCACCCCCCCAAAGTATGCCAAGTAGAATATGAAATATTGATCTGGACAAGTTTCTATCCTTTTGTTCGATTAACCCAAGCTAATTGGTCATAAAAATATCCACGAGCAATGAATTATAAATTTTTGTTCTAAACCGCTCATGCAGAAGCTCATTATGGAGAAGCAATCTTCTACGTACTGTTAACCTCGGTGACAATGACATCAAAAGGCGAGAACAATCTGAGTACTGCTGACGTGGCTTGACCATCATTAATTCTACTACAGCATAGAATCAATAGCATCGTCTGTCTATATATGCCACTTTCCTCCTAGAACTTGGAAGATTTGCAACTCTGGAAAGGATCCAGATCAAACAATTTGGCCACATCTCAATAAATTGATACTGTTTTTTTGAAGACGGACATACTGTGTATAGAGACAGTATAAATTGAGTTAGATTCTCATGAACGAGATTGAGGTGTGATCTTTGAGGGTTGATTATGGTGTGTGCATTATGTATGACCACTGTGATGGTGAAAAGGGTGTTAAGATTCTACTATATGTATGAATTTGCAATGGGCATTCAAATCTGTCATTCGGAATATCCCAAGACAATACTTGGAATACCGTATTTGCCATATGAAGTGCCCCAGGCACTTAGAAAGTTGACAAAGGAACGCTTATTCAAATCAGACCCATGTTATGTTTGTTGTCAGAAATTGAATGGTAAGGCTAAAAAAAATGGTTCTCAGGCACCGCCTCCATCATCATAAAGTCCGCCGCACATTTCGTTTTTGTTTCCATTTTTAAAAAAATAAATGTTCGCGTCTTGAACACACAACCCCTGCAGAGAAAAGCTACAATCCTTAAGAACAACAAGACTTTGCCGAAATTATTGTAAGCAAAATGTGGTTACATACTAGCTTGAACAACGATGAAGCCAACCATTATGATTTTGCTATTTTGAAACTAAAATGTTACTATTTTGAGCCTAAATTTACTGTTTCTCTTGTTTCCCCGAATTATGATTTTTGTCATTTTTAATTATTTACAAGCATAAAATAGCACGGAGAGAAAATTGTTAATGCACTGCTGACATGAAGCAGCAACACCAACCAATGACAGCTAAGATACATTACAGAGTGGTACGAGGTCTCTAATTGGTTGTTATGTTAACACACGTTCAAGTCATTTAATCGACCGATCTTTGTGGTTGCAGACATGGAACTAAAGGCACCGCTAACGTTACTCTTTTTCACATGAAATTACCCTTTTTTAACCCCACAAAATTACTCCAAAGCTTCAATTAAGGTTGGCATCCCTGATCACAGGTTGTGAATACGCGACTATGGGGCGGGAATTGTTTCTTGTTACTGCTACAGAATGCCTAATTTTTTCTATGAATAGAGCAGCCAAACATGTTTTGTTTTTTTCTCAACACTTTTGTTTTTTTCAGGACATCCAATAAACAATTGATATTACACCTGAAGACAAATTATTTTTATCCAGTTTCCTTTTTGAGCAAATTATTTAAAAAAATATTATTACCCGGATGTTCCCTAATGAATTCTTCTGTTGCAGGGATGCTGACAATCACTGACTTCATCAATATACTGAAGATGTACTACAAGTCTCCCCTGGTGAGTACTGATGTGTTGAGCTCCTCCTGGCTGTCACACCAGCGTCGGGAGCTGGCTGCAGCAGTAGGAGCTGGCATTTCATCTCACAATACTTCCAGTCCTTCATCGGGCTCTTAATTACACCTTCCATTCCCGGAACACCACCTTCTTCTACTTGCCTGGAGAGTCACTATTTTGTTTTCCTCTGTGTTCTTGTCAAATAGAAGCAGCAGCAGCAGCAGATTGTCCATGTCTAGAGTTGCAACCTGTTGGTCCATGTCTAGAGTTGCAACCTGTTGGTCCATGTCTAGAGCGGCGACCTGTTGGTCCATGTCTAGAGCGGCGACCTGTTGGTCCATGTCTAGAGCGGCAACCTGTTGGTCCATGTCTAGAGCGGCGACCTGTTGGTCCATGTCTAGAGCGGCGACCTGTTGGTCCATGTCTAGAGCGGCGACCTGTTGGTCCATGTCTAGAGCGGCGACCTGTTGGTCCATGTCTAGAGCGGCAACCTGTTGGTCCATGTCTAGAGCGGCGACCTGTTGGTCCATGTCTAGAGCGGCGACCTGTTGGTCCATGTCTAGAGCGGCAACCTGTTGGTCCATGTCTAGAGCGGCAACCTGTTGGTCCATGTCTAGAGCGGCAACCTGTTGATCGATGTCTAGGGTGGCATTCAGTTAATCCATATATCTAGAATGCCATTCTGTTCTTTTCATTAATTGATGTAGAGAGTGGCAATTTGTTAATTGATGTCTAGAGCGGCAATCTGTTCATCGAAGTCTGGAACCTTATTCTGTTGATTGGTGTCCATAGCAACTATCTTAGGAGCCATGTCCAGAGTGCCACTTGGTACCAGCAGCTGAGGCATTAAAGAGAGGGACAATTTGGCCTTGACATTAGGTACATTAGCAATATAAGTAATCAATTGCAGACAAACTAGTTTAAGAAATAATGAATCAAACTTGCTCAAACTGTCAAACTACCAGAGCATGGTCACTTTCAAATATGAATTCTACTTTAAACAAAGAAAGAGGAGTAAAACCATACTCACAAAGTCACTCACTCACTCTTGGACTGTGTTTTGTACACAGAACGCAAGTAGAGCCCTTGTGTACCCTGGCTGTTTTGAGGTTAATGTACGTCTTTCTTATAGAGCTGTATGTTGCACGCTTTGCTGAGCAAACACAATCATTGATGATTGCATCCGCTAATTTCCTTGATGGCTGACTGTATTATCTGTGTGTGCTTAGCCCTTTATTACACCAGAAATAGCACTCTGAGAAAAGAATGAAGTAAAGAAACAGGGCCATCTTAATGCATATTAATGGATCGCTTTATTGTGCCACTCAAGCATACAACATTGTATGGCAACTCATCATTTATAACGTCGCTAAAATGCAAAGTTTGAGTTGCACATTGAATTGTTTCACTGCTTTCATTGATCAAAGGGAAAGGATAATTGAGCTGGAATGGCTGGGATAGAAGACAATTGAAGTGGAGAGTGGCAGTTTGCTGATTGTTTGTGAAGAGGGTTAGGCTAGACACTTGTGCTGCTGTTCAAGAAATGATGAAGAGAGCTCGCTTAGAAACTAGCTGCGTGTTTTGAGGTTTTTGTTGCCTGTGAATATATAATTGTGCGATATAGCTACCGCTCCGCCTTCATCTTTTCTTAAGAGTTCCACCCAGTGTTTTTTACACTGCAATATAACATGTTAATTTATTCCCATCTTGTCAGCTGTGGGATTGAACCTGTCTGATAGTGTGCGAGAGTACATATAAACATGGTGAAAACATCTCACAGGCAGATCCGGGATCATAGTTTAAATTTTTTAAACTTTCACTTGGCAATATAGACAAGTATTTCAATAACACACAGATAGTTTGTTTTTTTCGTCAGTTGGGTCAATATGAGAGGAGGGTTTACAAGTGATATATTGTGTGTTTGTAAAGCTGCAGTGTGGCACGTACAGATATACTAGACTTAGGGTTACAGATTATCTCTATCTTTTTTTTTAGCTGGTAGAGTGGCATTATTTTCATATTTTTTAAATGATAATTTCATGAAAATCTCTTTAAAATAAGTGCTGTAGCAGTCTGTTTGATTCCAAAAATCAAAGTACCACGGTAATGACTAATTTGCTGAAACGTAGGATTTTCTTTTGCAAAAAGCAACACATTTATTGCTTCCATTAAGTTACAATCAATATTTAATATCAGACATTTGGGCTCTTTATAAAGCCAGTGATGCAAGCTAAGGATTACTTAGTCCATACCAGTTATTGTGTATGGTTGGGTGGGTCCGAACTATTGGAGCCTCAGTGGCAGGTTCACTTTGAGGACCAGTGTGGTGATGTTGAGACCAGCGTAGGAGACTCTGGAAGATGCTTCCAGGTGCTGTCTTCGATTGATTTATCTATTGATTACTGCTCTGGCTCTCCTGAAGGTCCAGCCTTCCTTTCTCCCAGACATGCTCCCTTCCAGGACTCAGAATCCCAACTCAATTTGTAGCCAAACTTTATATACATATATACTGCCAGTTCCTATTTATTCTTGTGAAGGGCACACCCAGGGTTTAGTTTGAAAAACATGTGGCATAGGTCAATAGTCATACCCTCTCTCCCTTTCCACAACTGATTCATGGTGTAGGTTAGTTGTAAATTAATTTGCTTGTTGCTCTGATTGCCAGGGTTTGGTTCCCTATGGGTATAGTTGGAGAGCATCTGCCCGGAGAGGGGAAGGTCCAGGGTTTAATCCCTGGCCACGTCATACCAAGAGATGGTACGAGATGGCGCTCAGCATTAAGGGGCTAAAAGAAGGACTTGTAGGTTGAAGTCAGTATACTGTGTCTGAGTTGGGTATTGATGTTGAATTGCAGCATGGTGTCTAACTAAACAAGCACTATAAAATCGGCAGTTGTCCGGACTAGTGCACACACGTGCACATACGCGCACACACGCACACACATCACTATGTAAGTGCAATAATCTTGAAACGCAATGTTTCAACCCAACCCAACCCAACCCAACCCGTACTATCTGTGGAGCCCTTTTCGGGTGTTCCCCCTCACTCACTATTGCTGGAATATTGCTTAAAGCAGCATACAGCCATACTCACTCCACAAACATCAGTGGGGTAGCCAAGTGGTTAAGGTGTGTGCTTGTCATGCATGAGACTCAGGTTTCATACCCTACATGGAGCAATGTGTAATGACCATTCTTGGTTTGACCCTCCGTGGTCTGGCAGGAATGTTGCTAACAGCAATGTAAAGCCATTCATTCGCTCTGTTGGAACACCTGGAAGTACCTGGTGACAATCAGTTTCTGATAGTTACCCAGTGTAGTCAATGCTTTTTTCATAGAAGGGAAAGATTGTGGATCTGTGGATTTTCTCAGTTGAATTTCCAAGGTGTATTTAATCAAGGGGGTAGCGGAGTTGTGCAATTGTTGTATTTCCATGGTTAAAATAGGTCTTCAGCAAGCCATGCTTGCCGTAAAAGGCAACTATGCTTCTCATAAGGGGCGACTAATGGGATCGGGTGGTCAGGCTCGCTGACTTGGTGGATGCATTTCATCATATCCCAATTGCGTGGATCGATGCTCATGATATCGATCACTGGATTGTCTAGTCCAGACTAGATTATCTACAGACTGCTGACATTTAGCTGGTATATTGCTGCATGTGTCATTAAACAACAAACAAACAAACAAACAATCACTGCCTGTATGCATATTCTACTAATAAAAGTTGTGTCAGGTTCAGAAAGATGCGACTCAGCAACACCTGAGTGCTCCGGATTGACCCAAGTTATCAAGGGTCTCTGCTTGCACTTCAAACACAGTTTCTCCTTGATGAAAGTTCTGAGCAACAAGCCTCTCATCCAGATACGAAGAAAAAGAGGTCACTGCTACCATATATTATGCAGACATTTAAGTTCTTGTTGCCAATAGATAAGACTTTGAACAGCTCAACAAGAAGAAAAGAAAGCATGGCCATGACACAGATTGCTAGCACTGTTGTTAGGAAGGCCTGTCTTCTGGGAGAGGTGTTTTTGAGAGGCTACTTACACAGTAATTCTGAACATTGGCTCACATCTTTCTCAATGCAGGTCATGGATGTAATGTGTAAAGTACTTTTATTGTGAATTATTGCGAACGTGTCTCTTTTTGCAAAACATCTTTAATAGGCCTGGACATGTGGCTGTCGAAGTGCTACAAGCACAACTCTGTCAATCCTTATTAGCTATCAAATGAGGCATTGATTCTCCCTCCAGGAAGTTGGTTCTGCTTCCTATTATCACCTTTATCTTCTTGGTGTGCAGGTTTCAGGTTTCTTCACTGGCTAATTCACTCTGTCAGTTTGTGAATTAGTTCTGACACTTTAATACCTGCCAGACTGATTCAGGAAGCCATGTCGGTGCAATTAGCTGCTATCTGTCCTGGCAGCCGTGAGGACAGTGTGGTCAGTGAGGACAGGATATATGTCTGCCGGTGGTGCCATCTTGTATGTAGGTCTACATCTATAGGGATTACCGCTGTCCACAGATACAGACATAAGCCCTGTGTAGGTAGGAGGAAGCTAGTGACAGAGTGCACAGTCAGCACATACCGTATTTCCTCAGTGAAACGCCCAGGCACATATTTCTTCAGAGACCTATGATCATTGGGCTGAATCCCAGGTTCTCGCCCCCATCCCATTTTAAAGAACACACTTTTATTTACCGTCATATTGCTGGAATATTGCTATTAAACAACAAACAAGCACTGCACGCACGCACACACGCACGCCCATGAACACGCCCATGAACACGCACACACCCACGCCCACGCCCATGACCATGCCCATGCCCATGCCCCAATTATGTTTCTAGGTTTGTCAGCACTTGCTTGTGTGTTTCAGCAAAGGTGTATGCAGCTACGGTATTCATCACTTCACGCTTTTTCTCCCACATCAAGCTGACATGCTGTCACATAACTGAAATACTTTTCAAAGTGACATTGACCAAACTCACTTTCTCATTAGCATTT